ATTCTAGCAGCACTGTATATATATATATATATATATATATATATATATATATATATATATATATATAACATTTTAAATAAAGTTCCTCTGTTCTTCTTGTATCTCAAACTCAAAATCTACATGTTGCTGAGCAGTTGCTTAACCGTCAGTCACTAAATCTGTTCATGTTGTTAGCGTGTTGGCTACATCCTCCACCAACTCAACTCTCAGCAGGGTACGTCAGCTGCTCCATTACTCAACACAAGCACTCGAGGTACGCGGCCTCGTTAGCAAGCAGGCCTGTTTCACTGGGCAGCTTTATGAGAATCTGGCCAGCATTTTGCTATTCGTCTTCCAAATTAGCACGGTTAGCACGTAATTCTGTCATGCTCTTCTGTTCAAGCCAGCCACCCACACACCACACTCTCACCCTGACTTTAAACTTTACAGAGTAGAAATGCTCGCTGAGTTTGATCACTTAATGACCATGTTGCTCTAAGTTTTAACATTATAAATGGCCATAAACCTCTAGGAGACCATAATTTAAATTACATGACAGTGTCTTTAATGGACTGGTCAATTTGACAGTTTCATTAAAGCTAAAGTGTGTATGCAATTTCTGTGCAGCTAGTATAACCAGATGGAATTGCAAACATAATGACTGTTATCAAACATGTTTGCTGATCACTCACCTCATTTGTCATTGGTCAGCCAAACAAATTGTCCTGCCTATACTCACGCCATTGGTTGAGCCAATGTTGCTGTCTGACTGCTCAAACAAAAAGAGCAATGTGTTGACACTTTTCAGAGAAATTATCCTACATATGGCATACTTATAGTTGTCCCTGTATGTTGAGATGTGATAAGAGAAAATATTTTAACATGAAAAAATGTACACACTTTAAATTTAAATTTATGCAGTATAATGCATTTCTGTGCAAAACACTTTCCAGGTTTGTTTACTTTGTGTGTGGCCTTCTAGAAATTGAATGACTGAATATATCTCTTTAGGCCAAGATTGATACGTCGTCCCTCTTTGCTAAGTGTATGCATTGCAGGAGGTGGAGGTGTGTGTGTGTGTGTGTGTGTTTGAGAGAGAGCACAAGAGGGAGCTAAAAGAGTTATGGTACCTCATACATCATATGTGTCAGACTGAGATAAGGGGCCTCTTGGTTCCACATAGGGGTGTGTGTGTGAGAGTTGTGTGTTTGTGTGTGTGACCTTCCCTGTCCCTCTACACCTACTCACTCCACACACAAACACCCCTGCATTACAACATACTTGCATCATCATTCTTTCACACAAAGACGCCAGACACAGGTACTATAAGACAGCTCTCACACTGACCAGCAGCATCCAGACATTTTCACTTCATTGTTATTATGAAGTCTTTCTTAAACATTTCAAATTTAAGGGTTGTTTAAAATCATAAGTTACATACTACATGGTGATAGTGGCCTCAATTAATTTTTGTCAAAATATGACAATATTTAATTTTTTCTGAGCTGTATGGACACTTTTATTTTTTTTTTTATCTGATTGGGACCATTTTCCACCTAATATCAGAGCCGCATATATGTTGTTATCATTCAGTACCCAGTGCTGCCTTATATGAAATAAAATTCTGGAAACCTTAAACAGAGTCAGTGGCACATTAGGTTTGAAATATTGTGATAAGAGTTTGTCC